ATGATGTCACATGAAACAGTGAAGCACAGTTGTTGGGCAGCACAAAAGTGCAATCTGATATTCCTTTGAGGGACAGTTGGTGCAGTGCACAACAGGACAGAGGTGTTTACCAAGTGACCCAAAAAGTGACTTTGGCATAGGAGGGTTAATGTCACCCCACCGGCACTTACGGAAGGCATTGTAGCCAAAACGGCAAATTAGGTGACGAACACATGACTAAGAAATCAAATTATTGTTCAAGTTAAATGGGACATTCCATGAGGTTGGGGCACAATTTGTGACGGTGTCCTTGTTACATGGGTAACTTTTACCACCTGTCATGACCTGTAGAGTGGGTCATTTACTCTGTAAAAATAACACACACCTCTGTATTCAGCCTTGCAAGATAAGTTGGAATGCATATGCAAGGAAATAGCTGTTCATTTTTATGGAACCCATGCAACAATGGGCACCATCACAAATTGTGCCCCAACCTCATGGAATGACCCAATTACAACAATAATAAGCTCTGAGCAAGCTCTGATTTCTCTGAAGGTACGAGTTGTCTTGTAAGCGAAGGTGCGAGTTGTTCACGGTACGGCTCGGCAAAGGTAAGAGTTGGTACAGTTATTTTGAATTGATGGTACGAGTTGTCCAAGGTACGAGTTGTCCAAGGTACGAAGTGAAAGTGAACTCACTTTTTCATGTTGTGATGAATTTGTAGTGGAACCTAGTTTGCTCAATGGATGTAGACACACGTCAGCATGTAAAACATTTGATATGCACTCCGCACACAAGTATCCTCATCGGAAAGAGAGATGTCACTCAGCAATGATGTGCACACACAAGGGGCTTTTGTGCTCATTCTGATGAGAAACAGTTGGGCCTACACATACACAATGTGTGTCCCTGAGGCTTGAGTTGGGAAAGATCATAGAGTTGCTGTCTGTTGTTCATTTGGCGAAAGTGTTCAGATTCATGCATATTCCTACATACATCTACATCTATGCTGGTACTCGGCAAACTCTACCTCTGGTTGTAAATGCTTAATTGTCTAATGAATCCTAGTGATAATGGGGCCGGGGAAGAATTAATTAGTAGCCAGTCCAGATTGCCCAAACAAAATTAATAGTTTGAATTGACATTGGATGCTTTTAACACATGTATGCTAACTTATTTTTTCATTCACCTTACAGATTTCTAAACACAATCCACAATGTTCTGGAAATTTGATGTTCATACTACGTCCCAAGTGGACACCTTACTAGAAAAAGAGGTAATGTTTGAAATATCTGCATTCAACACTAAAAGGACTGTTAATTTATGTACGCATCCTTAATTTGAAAGAGTTTAACAAGAAAGTGTGAACCAGAGGAGTTAAATTGAGTTGAATGAAATTAAAATGTGTCTCTTCTTCTCTGCAAAAGGTCATCAAATCCAGTACAGATTGGGTCATGCTGGATTGCTGGATGGCAGTGGCGATGATGTAATTCGGCTTATTAATGTTTATCATGATTGACACCGATTTTGTGATTTTTTAAAATTTGTATTTTCTGTTAGAGTTGGACATTCTAGCTGACACTATATCCTCAACTGAAAACTGTACCGTAATGAACCCATTGCGAATTAAATTTGGATAAAACCTGGTACACTGAGTTGTCTGATTGTACACGCACATAACAATTTGAATTTCCCAGGCTAAAGACACTGTTGCTATTCACACTTTGCACCCCGCCCATAGGCATGCTTTGCCTCGAACTGGTGACTGATGACTTACTTGAAGGCCGACTCCTACTGTAGGTCGTCATTTTGCCGATTTACAATGTACATGTACATGAAATGATGACCTATGTGTATATGTATGTACATTTACATGTAAGTGATTCAGTTGCAAAGCTCAAAATATCTACATGTAGTCCGAGCATGGACGAAGGAATAGACACGATGAAAACAACATGGTTTGCAATGCTCCGAAGTCTTGAGATGGGATTGGATTTTGTAAAGTGCTGCAGTCAATCAGGCTGAGTGTGAATGGGGTGCCTGCTTGCACTCCACTGGACCGCTGAAAATACGTGTACTATACTTCGAAATATATGAAAGCAGAAAATACATATACATGAACAAGAATCTAGTCCAGTCCAGTGAACTAATTCATTCGCTGAAGTATTTCAGAAGTTTTGATCGCTTCATATATTTCCGAGTGTCAAAGTGTGGAAATGTACATACTTTGAGTTGTCGCGGTGGTCACTGGTTCCCGGCCATTCCATGCCATTCTTGCTGTTTATGGCTGTAGGAACCTGTGTGCCACTCAGCAAGTTTCGTGCGTTGCCACCACGCTGTACTCTATCTCAACATTACTTGCAATGTAACATCTCATGCTTGGGCCATATTATATGCACATATTTTTTGCAGGAAACGTCCATGTACAATGTATGTTACATGGCACGTATATGTGATATTGTCTGAATGTGTACGTGCTGGCAGTGTGGAATCCGTTCATGACAGCATCGACATACAACGCTGCGCTGGGTCGCATAATATGTACCGATCATAGACCATGCCAGTGAACAGACTCTGCCATGTGACTTTTCACACACTCTTCTTGCCAACTGCAGTGCAAACGTCAATGCCAATGCAGAATTTTTTTTCATAGACCGACTTACACAAAGGACTTTGTTGTGTTTGTTTGTTTGTTTGTTTGATTTGGTGGGAATCGGACGAAGAGTAACACGCCGACTTATGCAAAATGACGACTTGTAAAATCCGACTTAGAAATAAAAGTTCCAATGGAAAAGCATTAAAGTTAATTGGGAGACTTGAGCGATTTACCGAGTTGTACGATGTCGACTTGGACGGAGTTTACTGTACTAGACTAGCACATGTTGGTGTAAATTCTCCGTTACTTTTTAAGAATTATTGATGACGAATATTCATACATTGATTAATGTTTTATAGCTTCTGTAGGGCAAGTGGAAATAACTAAGGTTGTATAATAAATACCCCATTCAATCAGCCCAAAAAATTACCCCCCCCTAAAAAAATCCCTTGGCCGACAGTGTGGACCCTGTTTTTGAGAGGCCTGTAATGAAAATTCAGAGTGAGTGAAAACATCAAAACTAAAATTTGTTACTTTTCTGGAAGTTGCAGAAGTTACAGATACATGAACTTTTTCCAGTTGAATGAAGCCACTGTATTTCAGTGTCGTTGTGGTCTCTAGTGGCTCAGTCTTCAAAACTCAGTCAAGGTTTTATAGCTTACTGTGTTTTGTCAAGTAATTGAATCCTGATCCAATTGACCTCAAAGGGATTACAGAGTTAGTACCTCTGTATCAACTTGACTACCCTTGTTGGTAAAAAGAAATCATTTCAGTATTTAGACTTGTTTCAGGCAGCAATTCAGGAATTGAGTACCTGTACATTGCAGTCAAGCACTAATCACTGACTGGATCAGTAGATCTGTTCTTGATGGACCAGTTATTCTACCAAAGTCACCCATAGTACAGTATTACTGGCACATACAGAAAGCAGTTCTATTCAAGATTTATCGTTGAAACAATCTGTGCTAATGTCATCTGTATATCCATTGTACATGTCAGGATGTTTGCCCTCTGTGTGAAGTCATGCAGTGTTGCACCTGTTCAGTTGGATTTACATATTTAAGTGAAGACAAATATAGCATTTCTGGCTTGAGTATAAAGTGTCACCTTTATATTTTTATGGATGCCTGAATGGTAAGCAGAGATGTCTGGTGGTGGCAGATACATAAATATCATAAGTTGAAAGTTTCATGTTTGCTTTGTGATGCCCTCTTCTGTGATTAGTTCAGTAAAAATAATCATAAATTGTGTTTGTTTTTATCCATAAGTGTCTGTTGGGGGGGCTTGACCTTATTACGGCATAATTGTACAGTTTACACTTGCCAGAATCATCCCCATCCTACGGACATGTGTCAACTGTACACTGGTTTACGAAATGCAAATTTCAAATCTTTCTGTTATCAAATTTCTGTACAAAGTTCAGCATGTAGCAGAACTACCTGCAGTTCATGGTTCCCCCTATCAGAAGCCACAGAATCAACCACTTGAACACACACACTACAAACTGTTTAGTTTGGCCAAAGTGCAAACATGATGTCAGTGAAGGTTACTGTATTTGTAACTTGGTGATAAGACATCCTTAGTTAAGCTGATCAGTACATGTACTTTCTTTTATAAAATTCAGAAATACGTTTTGATTATTCCAGTCTCCATTTTGAATGATAAAGTATGAAAGAAAACTGTAAACTACAAATGAGTCACTCCTCCCAATAAAGTGAGCTTATTTGTGTAAGTTACAGATAATCAGATTAAATCAAGTGAAATCCACTAAGCTGCTTCATCTGCTGCCAACACTTACATTTCAATGTACACATACACGTAGACCACTGATTTTCCGTGATTGCGGAAAACAGACGGAATTTGGGGAATCAACACCTTGAAATAGAAGCCATTGCTTGAAATGCTAAATTCTCCAGTAAGCATGCCTTAAAAAGTTAAGAAAACTTTCTGTACGGTACTGAAAAAAAAATGCCTTCCTGCTTATTTAATTAACCCTAACAGTCCTCAGTCCTCCAACAGGTGAAGGATTGAGGACGGTTAGGGTTAACGAACAAATTATGGTGGAAACTTACTACATTGCACCACTCCAGCACATGGTTGGGTCAGCCGATACCGGTATTTGAAATACATGTACATACAGCGCCGGGGTGCACACTTTGGCCGTTCACATGTGCACCGTACTCGCAATGAAATCATCGTACATAACAGGTTCATGCTCACACATATGCTTATTGCTTATGTGGGGAATTCAGTCTGTGAGTTTGCATAAATGCCTTGAGACAAGGCTAGTACCGCACGGCAAAACGATCAAACCGTGGCAGTAAAATGGAAGACAAATTGCATTTGTCTTGAATTAAATGAAACCTAGTACCATAGGTGTACCATAGCTAAATAGGCACTTGGAAGACTTTGACAAAGAGCAAAGGTTTCACTCACAAACATGCATTTAAAGGCCCAGATTTGATGTTAATTTTCCAAATTTCGTTGCACCACTGCCAAATAAAAATGGCGGTTCAATGTCCAACATTAACATGTTATCAACTGCTGTTGCGTGCACAACCTACTCTATGACTGCACTGTACATGTACATAAATGTAATCTGATTTTTCCACAAGGAGTGACACATGAATTAACCACGTATTAAGCATAGTAAGTTTAATAACTTGCTCTCCTTTTTTATGCTTACTGAGGTATGAAACGGAATTTGAATTCCTGAAGTGGAGTTTGGGATTTTGCAAAACGGAAAGTGCCCGATTTTGAAACAGAAAATCATTGGCTCTATACATATACCGGTAGTTTGTTACAAAGTCTGCCTTGGGGCTCAAGTAAAATCTTGTGATGTGCCACAGACATGCTCTGCATTCACCAGTGTATCTTGAGTTAACATAAAGACCAAATTTAATTTGCTCTGATCGCGATTCTTGCAGTGCCTGATTCTGGTTTCCAAAAAATCCTTTAGACAAAGTTATATGTTTCAAAATGTAACATTATTAAATTCTAAAAAGTATGCATTAGAAATTTGAGCATTATTAAGAAAAAAAGACTGGAATGTTCAAACAGTGCAGAAAGTTTAGTCATTATGTTTAAAATTAACGTTGATATGAATGTTTCCAGTGTGTTTCCATTGTTCATATTTGGTGCTGGCTGTCGTGTAGGATGTATTAACTCAGCTGATGTTTCCCAGTAACCATAACACTCTATGCTGGTTTCCTGTGGGCCATATCATTGAAAAATGATAACAATCAGAAAGGCAACATATTCTGAGCTGTGTCTTTGTTCCGTTGAATAATCCTGACTTTGGAATGGATTTACAGGATGTGACATTAATGGAACTTCTTGATGAGGATGATATCCTTCAAGAATGCAAGGCTCAAAACAAGAAACTCATTGACTTGTGAGTATGCTGCATCAGTGCTTCTAACAGCTTAATATCTTTCATTTATTTAAATCATATTATCACTTGCGGAGTTACAAAAACCCAGCAGTATAATGTTGCAGTAAAGAAGTTTATGTAATGAAGGGCACTTTTGCATGTTTGTAAGTAGAAGTTTCAACATGTTAAACAGTTTTTTTTTTAAATGCTTAAATTTAGTGCTGGTTGTCAAGAATTGTTGATATCAAAATTACCTCCCAGATACCTTGTACTTTGTAAAAAAGGAATTGTTCAAGCCAATTTAACAAATTTGGTCACCTTTTCCTGTTTCTTTTAGCCTCATCCGAACGGAAGTCATGGATGAGTTGATTTCTTACATCACCAAAGAACCCTCGGGTGAATTAGAAGAGCAACTACAGTACAAGCATCCTAACATGGCTTGTGAGCTACTGACATCAGAAGTAGGAGCAATCAGTGATAAACTGGCAGAGACTGAAGTAAGTGTTGTCAGAGTGCTGAGTCTCCTAGAATGTGGGGCTTTGATGCCAGTGATATAGACTTTGTTTCCTGTTAGTCTGTCTACATGTACATCCTTGATTGAACAAAAGTCAAGGGTTGTTAGTCGTAACAAATACGGTGTGCTCTTTTGACATTACATTTGTGTCTTTTCCTACTAGTGGCTGCAAAAGTTACAGCTGGTTGTCAGTATAAATGGATAAAAATAACTTAAAAAGTGTCCGAAATCCCACGTCCTATCAAAACACCACATAATATAATACACGTACTACTGTATAACGAATGAAAATGCAACCCTTTGAAAGTAAATCTGCGTTTTGAACAAATGCGACGTAAAATTGAAAACCAACGGGAGAATGAGTTTTCTGCACACTTTGGCCACTCATACAAATTGCAGGGTAAATAAGAGTGGTCTATGTACCATATGGTGTGTAGAAATGGAAATGGTGAATAATAACATGTTTCGCTGTGATTGTTTCTTATAGTCTGCAATGAATGCACTGTGGAGTTTCCTAGACCACGAACCTCCTCTCAACCCACTACTAGCCAGCTTCTTCAGCAAAACTATCGGCTCGCTCCTGGTTCGGAGACCGGAGGTTGTCATAGATCACCTCAAAAGCAAAGACAACTCCATCAGCATTCTCCTGAATCATTTAGGCACATCCGCCATCATGGATCTCCTCCTGAGGCTAATCACGTGCATAGAGAGCCGAGAGGTCAGGCAGGAATTCCTTGAGGTAAGGATTCCAGGAAACAATGGATTGTATATCCATTCATTAGCTTTAGTTTGGTCACTATGATCAGTATTTTGACATACGCCCAATTACAAGTGCAGTCAATTCTCAGGAAGAATATTTACAACAAAATACTAGCAAGGGCAAATCCTGAGAGTCCCAATTCTTAAATTTTCTCTCTGCACTTCTTGTTTTTTTTTACCCACTCCTGGATATAACGGCGTAATTTTTCTAGTCCCTTTTACTTTGTTGTGATGAGAGTTGAAGACATAAAGTGTGTCAGTCTCGGTTGATGAGAACACGTCAGATGTAGAAACGTATGCTGTATTTTGTCATTGACAGTGGCTGAACGAGCAGAAGTTCATCCAGCGATTAGTGGATCTGATTGATCCAGAAGAGACGGATGACAAACACAGCAATGCAGCACAGACTCTGTGTGATATCGTGCGTATCACCAGGGAACACATGTCACAGCTACAGGAGTGTGCTGAAAGTGATCCACTGCTCACCACATTAGAGAAGTAAGTAGATCCTTCATTTTGTGAGATGCTGGCTTGCTTACTGACTGATCATGGCCGTGGTGGTTTTTATAAATTTCCACATTGGCATGATAGTCTACATGGACATGGAATATGATATTTAATATCAGTTAGTAATTTTATTTTTGGTAAATCAAGTGTGCATGGGTTTACAGTAAAAATTACATTATGCTCTTCATCTTTATAAGAAATTCAGTTTGTATTTGACTGTTGGAAAAAGTTTTCTTATTGAATATCAGTAAGAGTCACTAAACTATAATGGAAAGGTGATGTTGGGCTTTCATGTTTGAAGCACACCTGATTACTTGTTCCACCTACGTAACTTCCTTCTCATGTGGTTGTGAACTGTTACAAGTTGCAAGCAGCCTTCCTTCGCCAACAGTTTAAATGTGTTCCTGACTTTGAAAGGCTTTCCTCACCCCTTTGATTAAGCAATTAGAATATAACTACAAGGAACGCTCTTGTCAACCTTGAAGTCCACTTACAATATCCTGAGCCATTGACCTTATTAGTTGCTGTCCATGAATAGCCAATCTGAAGCATCTGACCCCACCCTACAGGAAAGCTCTCCCTTCCCCTGCCCCCTGCAAGGCTCACACGTCCCATGACAAATTTGGACGTGACTACTACACAACTGTATCAGTCCCTTTAATTATTGTTGTGCAAGTCTCGTCAAAGAAAACAAAAACTTAAAATGTTACGGATCTCTTAGAAGACTTGCCATCAGACGTGCATATGCCAGTTATATTATTCAAAATTTGTTGATCTTTTGAAAGTATTTTTTTTCTGTCTGACTAGATGTTGGCTTGTGGTTTATGAATATGGAAGTTATAACAGTATATCCCAGTCCTGCATCTTGCTTATGACATGTCAGGAAAAAAATGCAAAAGTGTGCGAGGTTTTGGCCCTTCATTTTGGCCCTTCAGTTTGGAGGAAGAATGAACCATATCAGAAAATATCCCGAGCGTTGGAAATAGCTTTAGACAAAGTTCTTTCCCTTCGTTGTGTGCAGCAAAGAGATTCCTAATTGGTTATCTTTTTGTCTTTGTGTTTGAAGGCAAGAAACTGTAGCCGAGTTGCTGGAGCACATGTTTCATGGAAAGAAATCCAAATCTGCTCTAGTGAATGGCGTCTGTGTCCTCCTGGCTCTCTTGGAATTCAAAAAACAAGGGTATGTTCATTACGCACCAGTGATTGTGATTTTGTGTGATTCCAAGTAACCCTTTATGTGTGTGCACCTGATTTATTTTATCAACATTTATCGATTTGGTTGTGAGCAGATCATTCTGATGTGCATGTAACAGTGGGTGAATTGTTCAAGTTGAATATTATTTGCATTTGCCGTGATTGATGTGCTTTGTTGTGGTAATGCAGTCAGATTTGTCAGATCAAATTAGCATATTGTGTGCTGTTTTCCTCCGTTCCTCTTCCCCTTAGAACTTTCTGAAGTGGAGGAAATATTGCCGGCCTAATTTACTTAAACTTAAAAAATCCATGGTTTGAATCAGGAAAAGTTCACAAATACAAACTCTCTCGTGTTAACTTTTAAGTTGATAAACCAAAATGAAGAAGAAAGTTTTGTGGATTATTCATAAATTTGACAATTTTGTGTGTTTCAGTGGGAAGGAAAATAAATTTCAAGGTTATCTGTGAGGAAGTGTATTGTAGGTTGTACACAGCATGGCAGTGACTTGCCTGGACAGGGAAATCCCTGTGAACTGGTGATCTGAGTCAGTGTGTGGAATTTTCTGATGAAATCTAAACCACACACAGAATTCCCTTGGCTGCATTATACTGTGTGTACATGTACAAAAGGAAGCTTAATCATCCTATGCACTGTTGTGAAACGACCTCTGGTTTCCTTTCTTATATCCCTTCCCTACAACAGAAAATGGCTAACATGATACTGTGTACTGTTTACATTAAGGACTGACTTCAACTCCAAAAAGTGCCCTTTACCACTAGGCTCTTGGTACTAGATTGCATAGCGCCCTCAACAATCCTCGCATAGACTTATTAGCCAGAGATGGCCTTTCCTTTGAATAATGAATTAAGGAGTGCCCATGGAACTGATGTACATGTAGTTGTGTACACACCAGTACTGTCTTAAACAGAATTGCTTGAACTTGTGTGTGGTATCCAGGCAAGGTTGCTGCTTTGTCAAGCATTGTCACCTGTTGCATGCATGATGTCAGTTTGACCTAAATTTGTCATTTACGATTTGAACAATTCTATTTATGTAAAATAAACTCCATATCCACACTCATCCAACAGTACTGTCCGTAGTATACCAACCATAGTTGTTGTTTCAAACACTTGTATTCCTCTGAATCAGGGAGAGTAAACCAAGACGTTCAAAACATCACCTGATACTTTGAAACCTGTCAAGTGTCAAATGCTGTATTGTTGCTGTGGCTTAAGCCGGTGCAAGCGTTTACTAATCATCATCCTCCTTCCTTATCCTTTCATGACTTTGTATTGCTTGATATTGGCTGTGGAAAGAGGGCAGGAAATGACCAATTTGGTGTGGCACTTGAACACCTATTGGTTTATGATGGAGAACATCCTGTCAAGGAACCTGTCTCCTGCCCCCAGCTAACATTAGTATCCAAATGCAAAGATGTGCTAGCACAGATAAGCCCAAGATTATATGTGATATTCAGCCGAAACAGCCATGAAGAGTTACATGTAGAATTGAACCGAAATGCTTGAGAGTATGACATTGGCTGAATTGATGCAATGTTAAGGCCGGTTCATACTTCAGGCGAGAAGAGAATGCGGAGTGAATTTGTGGGGGAAATCACACACATCACGATGGAACTTCAGTTGCTGATGTCATGAAATTCACTTTGCATTGGCTTTTGCGTGAAGTATGAACTGGGCTTTAGGTTGCATAGTAGTGAATATCTCATTTCACTAGGCTTCCAGTTACCTGTGTGAGCTGTGTGAGCTTCCCAACTTGTTGGTTATCTTTGAAGTCTCATGTAGCTCATCGCTTGGCTTAAATCCACCCAAGTATTCATCCATAGATAACAATAATGAAGCTTCTGAAATTTGGCCCCACAAAATGGTCGGGAAAACATACTAGTAGGATCAGTTTGATGCTAACTTTACCAGCTTTTGATGGGCCACAGTGTTGTGAGACAAACCAGAGCAAAAACACCGGGAAGTTTTTGTTGGTAGGACTTGTACATGTACATTTTCTTTGGACACTTTGTCCAATCATGGAACTATTATACACAAGGAGTAAGCACATATCGAGGTCAAAATGGTCAATGATGGCCACCGCAAGCACTGCACGTGCTGCACGGACAAAACGAATTCCGCACCGCTTGCGAGCTGTAAGGAATGCTCGGAGTTGTATGTGCAAAGGATTATGGGTACTGCACATGCGTGTCCATAACACTTCCGCAGGTTCAACATGGCCGCCATGAGACAGAAACCACCGTCAACGGAGACTTAAATTTTGATAATGTTAGTGATTGTTCTGATATTCCAATGATAATGAAAGTCTGGTTACGTCTTTACATCCCAAAACATCTCTCTAAACAAACAGAATTACTAGCACAAAGTCTCCAAAAATACGCCACAAGAAAACTGAAAGAATGTAGCTGGTCCGGAGGCAAATTAAAAAAAAACACAAAAAAATGGGAAGATTCGTTGTCCTTCCTGTCATTGGCCACTATTGACCACGCATGAAACCTCGCCACGTTGTCAAATGTATTCCTGTGGCATGTTTCCACCTTCTTTTAACTGTAGGAACCACTAGGATTGCGACTTATGATATAAATATCACAGTTCATATTTTGGGTATTTTTTTCTCTACCACCAGAACCGCAAAATGTCATAACTGACTTTAAAAACGTCCTACTTTTGCCAAATAACCAACTCGGATTCGGAATTTTTGAGCGCATCTGAAGGGATTTCTCACTGACTGAAGAGAACTGGGCATTTTCTTACGTGCACGTTTTCCACCGTGTATTTAGTCCAGTATGCCGCAGTGAAACCTGGCGGTGGCGATCACTGTGTACGAAGAATGTCTAGGGTCTTCAACCCTGGGGCCGGTAACCACACTTTGTCTGTGGAGCAGACCGGAGCGGTTAATCAAATTAGGGTCTGTAGGGACTTCGTTCTTACTCCTTGTGTTTACTTTCTCCATTGTCCGATCATTTCTGCTTTTGGTCAGACAAAAACCACAAGTGGTTTGGAAAATGACAGACATCACACTGACTTAACATTTGTATAGCTCTAGCTCTCATTTCCATTAGCACCCATTGATATCGATTCCTGTCTTTAATTTCATGCCTTATATATGTGCAAAAACAAAGCCTTTTGTTTTATCACATGCTGTGCACACATTGCTTTACAAACAGGTTCAAATTGCTTCTTCAGTCCCCAGTTGTATTTGAGTCACTGATTGGTATGGGAATGCATTTCACCTTACAGGTACATGAAACTTTCATTAATTTGGAGGAAAAAAAGGTAAAGGGGAAGGAAAAAACAGGAATTGCATGTTGAGATTTTGTTTTGCAGTTTGGAAGAATGTATAGCAAAAGCAGACTGAAGAAGCAATTTCTTGTTGGCATGCTGGTATTTCACCTGTCTTTTCAAGCTTCATTCTTCTGCTTCCTCCCTTACCAGCATGGTATTGTCTTTCTTTAGGCCCGAGGGACAGGAACAAATGACTGCTTTAGATGCTGAGAGATTGGCTCATGGTGTGAGTGGGACTCTGAAGGCAATCGTACCTCAGCTACCCGAACTTCACCAGTTATTGACGGACCCTCCCGAGGTATGTAAGACCACTCGTAATGACTGTCCTGTCAAGTTCAGGATATGTTTCTTGCAGTTCGGGAATTTGGCTTTATGCGAAATAGAAACTATCTGAGTAGCGTTTGCTTGCTAAGTTACATTGTGATAACCATTGGGCTATAACATTTTAGGGAGGGGGACCGATATGCAGAATGTTTCCATTTGTACCGGTCAGAGTTTGTGTGAAGCTGGCCCTGTTTGTTACAGACACTTTGCAGTTGTGATATAAACTGCCAAGAATTGATTTTAGAAATCCTGCATCTGATATATACAACCTGCATAACCTTGCACCATGCGTAAACTGTATACAACAAATGTTGTGGCATAGCAGTGCACTTAGAATTGATTTCACACAAAGTCTCCTAGCTACTCATGATAAGGTTTTACATGCGTCTTGGACAAGGGCGTTCACAGCATTTGTACATGTAACACCTGTTCATTCTGCTGCCATTAAACGTTCATTACATGTAGCCGCAACTGCTACTTTTAAAAAGTTTTGTTTTCATCAGAACTGGGCAGCAAATCTTAAAGTTCTCTCACAGTCAAATCAGCATATTACCATCCCATAAAACACAGATGTGCATTTCTTGTAAAATCCTCACTAAGTTGGCCATTGACGAGCCTCACAGCAAACATGATTAGTTAGTAAATTGCCCTTTTCTGATCTGTGTGGTGTAACTCATACCAGATCAATGAATTGATGTTAACGCTAGAATTTGTTGGTGAAATCTCAAGTTTTGACATTTGTTGAACTTTATTGAATGTGTCGTAATTTAAACTTATGCAATGAAATACAGTGCAAAAAGCCATTGTGTAAACTTTCCTGGAATCTGACGCAGGAAGTAGGTAATGGTGTTAAAAGATCATTGTGTGGTGCAAGAGTGTTTAGAGCTTACAATCATGTTACAAATTACTAGCTGAGAGCTATAAATAGCTTGCTAATTAGAACTATTGTCAACTCTTGTTGTAAAATGTTGTACGGACTAGACAAATTGCTATGCTACAACCAGGACTTTGTGATAAAAAGTTGAAAATAAGAATTCAAGAAATCAGGATTTGCAGAATTTGCACTTTATAACGGTACCTATTTTGTTACAACTATGTTCTTCATATCGACTGTGGACTGTTTATGTATCTCAAACTTTACACAAATAAAAAAGGTCCCCCCACCACCATTGTCACAGGTCTTACTGTAGCCACGCCTTTCTCTAAAGCTATCATGAATGTGGTACTTTTTGTTTTTACAGCAAGATCCCATGCCAACCACAGTAGGTCAACTCTCCCCTCCATTTGGAGCTGTCCGCCTGCAAGTGTGCAAGCTGATAGCTGCACTGCTTGTCACTAATACTCAGAGTATTAATGTGGAACTGGCTAGATTGGGAACGATAAAATCAATATGGGTAAGTATGCCTTGCAGATCAGTTTGTTTTTTTGACTTGGAAAATAACTGCTAACTACGTCATCATTATTTCAGAACTACAACCCAGATGAACTTTTTCTCAACTCGGTGTTCACTGCTGTATTTCAGTTCAAAAGAAATAACTTGTTCTTGCCAGAATGCTGAGCAGGTTTCCGCAGCCATTCTGTTGCATCTACAATCTTTGGTGATCCGTAACGGGGAAGTTAATGCCCCTCATTAGAAATAGATTCTTCCGTACTTCAACGGCTCTTTCAGATTTCGCCAAACAAAACATCACTTGCCAGATGTGGTCAGGCATGTATTTTCCCACTTGCCAAACACAGAGTTTCCACACATTACGTCTTTGGTGCAATTGCGCCACTTTAAGTTTGTGGGAATCAAATTGGGCCATTAGAGACCGGTTTCATCGCTTGAAAAGTACAAGATAGTAGAAAGAAAGAATTCTTAAAATTTACGCTGCGTGTATTGTGCTCATGCTCGGTAAATTTTGATTATTTGCAATTTGCAATTGATCATAAAAATCTCCCGATGGTTTCCAAGTTACGTCCAGATCTTGTTATTGCAATGACCGTTAGTCCGCTACCATTATGTAATAATAGGGGCGGTACCTTAAACTTGTACATAAACAGGTTTTGAGTGCATTTTCAAACCCAAAATATTAACCAGCTATAGTTAAGTAATCACTCCAGTTTGCATACTTCCATGATGTGATTATCTAAACAACAAAAGGAAAATATGGTACATGCCCCCACAGGTCAAAAATGGCATAGTCTTGGTGCTAATAAATCTAGTTCCACATATCTCTCAAGGATTAAGGGTAGAGCGATTCCGCGCTGTGAGGAGCCGCGCTAGTGAATATAACGTGGCAAAGATCAACACAAATATTGCCATCCATGCAGCCGTATTTGTCAAAAAGATTACACTTTGTTCGAACCCGACCATGCTGATCGAATATGGGAAAATGCTCGGCCCAACCGCACAGTACCTGGGCTGGAAAATTCTCCCAAAATGAGTTCATGTACCTACCCTGACATTCATTCTTGTATTATGTTCCCTTCTTTAATGTTTTATTTTTGTTGGGATACTTGCCAATATTTAGAACATAACAAATGAAGCTTCATAACATATTGCCACTGGGAGAAATCTTGGCTGCATGCTGCAACTCTATGTGGTTTCTGTGTTATATTTACAACCCGTTACATGTCGCATAATACCTGAGTATTTCCTTGTCCGCCAAAGTTATTGCAAACGTATTTTTAGTTATGAGAAGCACAGTTAATAATGTGTCAAACTTCAGGGAAAATGACTGATAAGTGAATTTGAAATTTCAGCTCTTCTCTCACACTTTGTTATACAACTTCGTGAAATGACCCATATGACACCAGGCAAAATCTTTGAGTGGTTAAGAAATAGCCATTGCCTGGACTTGTGTAAATGATGCATCAGATTCCTGTGCCTTCTATGCATCCATGCAACAGTTTGGGTGATGTATATTCATGTTGTATTGTGGCGTAGCAATTTCATCAACGGTGATTGGTTGAAGGAAGGAACCTACTGTCGCAGGAAGCCATGCATGAAGCCTACTGCTCAGATTGCAAACTGGCCGGAGTATGCGTGCCTTTGCATTTGGATATACCGTTTTGACTGGAGGTCATTGGTGTTGTCAACTTCTCTTTTGTTTGGGGAAGAATAAAAAAAGCTCACAAATTCCAACAGACTTGTCACGTGCTGTACGGTTAGGACCAATTGGTGGGGGCCTAAGCCGCCTAACTGCAAAAGGCGTCCGGCAATATGCACGCATTACGCCATTGGTTTTGAGCTCGATATATCGGTATTATTAATACAGGACCGCCGATATATCAATATCGGCAAGTATCTATAATTGACGGAGCTTAGGGTTTGCAGGTTGTTGGTTGTTCAAGGGTATGAATGTAGTGAGCTTGATGTACGTCAAGCTGTGTAAAAGATAAAGGTTTTCAGATTGATACTTGGAGTCATACTGATCTGTTAGAAGTTTGGCTATATTTAGGACTAAAGACTTGACTTTAATGTGCAGAAAAGTATTTTAATGTATGTGCATATTTGTGGTACTTCCAGAATGTTGCACAAATCTGAAAGGATATCAAGAAATCTGTTGTTCTGAATTGTGACATTAGTACATCGTAGCCACCTGGCTTTTATAACGAGCTTTGACAAAATGATAACGTGGTTAGATTTCCTAACAGTTGACTTGCATAACCCTCATGCATTGTTAAGATGACAAACTCATGCTCTCAATTGTCTATATTTTCTATTTTTACGAATAACTAAGCCATAATTATAGGGCTATCAGAACTCTCTGAACAAACAAGAAGACAGAGTACTGAGCGTCCTGTTCTATCTGCACTTACATGACTGTCCATTTTGTGTTCACAGGAACTTTTATTTCAGTATGCTTGGAATAATTTCCTACATCTGGAGGTCGAGAAGTGTATAAGCACAATTCTGGCTAACAATCCCACCGAGTCGGAAGAAGGAAAAACACAGCATCCACTTTTAGTCCATGTAAGTATCCAACTTCATGTACTCTTCTGCCTTATCTAGTATACCCAGCAAGAAATGAGACCGAGGGGTACCCCCCCAACATGTCGAATCCCTATACACATTCCAGACTATTGTTACTTAACACATCCCCCAAGATGTCTGAAAGGAATTCCCCAGATTCCTGNAGGGGGGGTTCTCTCCGTCTCATACCTTGCTGCATATGTTATCTAGTATCCAGCCTCATTTAGTATCCAACCTCATTCACTATTCAATCTCACTTGGTATTTAACCTTATTTAGTATCCAGCCTCATCAAGTATCCAACCTTATTCACTATTCAATCTCACTTGGTATTTAAACTTATCTAGTTTCCAGCCTCAACTAGTATCCAGCCTCTTCTAACATCCAGCCTCATTGAGTATTCATCCTCATCTGGTAGCTAACCTCATCCAATATCAAACCTCATCTACATTAAGTATTCAGCCTTATCTAGTATCTGACCTCATCTAGTATCTCACTTCATTTAGTTTCCAGCCTGGACTTATATCCAGCCTCTTCTAAAATCTAGCCTCATTGAGTATTCATCTTTATCTGGTATTTAGCCTTATCTAGTGCCCAACGTCATTGGATATCTAACATCCAGTATTCAGCCTAATTGTGGAAAAGCTCAGTCACATGATTTGTGTACCCTTGAATCAACCTTGTGTGTCACCTCTTAGAAATGGTTTCGAACTTTAATCAATCAGCACAATATATCTGCTTCTTTTGAACAGGTTATGACATTCTTTTCAAAGTAGAAGTGTATACTTTTGTCATAGGGCCTGGTTGTTTGACACAGATCTAGATCTTCAATCAGTGATCCCAATGCTGGTTTGTTCCATCCATTAGGTGGGTTCAGGTGTCAGTGAACTAACCACAGATCACTGATGGAGATCCAGATCCCTGTGAAACAAACATGCCCCAAATTGTTTAACTTTAGTATTGATGTACATGCCTTGTTTTTTTTCTTGCCACCTGCAGCTCTTTACCGACTGTAAACTGATCCAGAGGATACTGGAAAGCTGGGAGGAAAATGAACAAACGCAACAGAAGGGAGGGTCACGTCGAGGCTACATGGGTCACCTGACTCGTATCACTAATACAGTCATCCATGAGATGGAGAAAGGCTGTAATTGTGATCAGATCAAGTCTTTATTTCAAGGTGAGATAGAGAAAAAGCAAACAACAGATCCAGTATTACGTGTTTTTCTTGATATAGAGTGAGAAGTCTAACTCACAAACATTGGTCACAGTTGCATGAGGCATCTTGATGTGCTGATGTGACAAACGACGGAAGTGTGCTCCGTTGTTCTCTTCATAATGGTGAAATGCCGTTTGTTTTTCCTTTCTCGCTTCAGAATATGTACCAGAGGACTACAGAGATAAATGGACTTCCTTTGTAGTGGGGAGTTTGTCTGAACTCAACAAACGGAATACAGTAGATTTGGTGAGTGACTTATAACATTTCTTAACAGTTGTAATTTAGTCTAAGTGTACGTGGTCAAAACTGTACATATTCAATCCATGTACTGTGTCTCAAACTCTAGAATGATAAACCTCACAGACGGGAACTTGGCATAAGCAAAACATGAGGCCTTACAAAGAATTTAGCGCCTGATCTTCAACAGTGCTTTAATTTTCCGTAATAGCTGAAACCGCTTTGTCCCGATGTGTTTTGCCTTATTTGAACTGGGTGTTTTGAATGTTCCCATGTCCTGATATGACGTATTTGTAGGCCAGTGAAATCCTACATGGTCTCTGTGTGTTTGCAGGTTGGTACACATCCCTTACATTCCTCCAGTGAGGATGACGATGGAGATTTTGGTAATATAGACTTTGGCAAAGACACTGCAGTACAACAGGTATGTAGTTGTGGATTTTCTGCTGTGATGATAAACCAGAAGTCTCCACACAATCTGCATGGGCATTATCTCTCTCAGACCTCATTGCAACAGTAAAAAAACAAAACCAAACCAAACAGCAATTTGTCACAACTCGTTTACGCATTGCACATAATTTGCTTCAAGTCTTAATAAACAACATTCACTTAGTATTACTAATGCAGTGTTTTTCAGTTGATGGGTTAAGTGGATGATGGAAAGAAAGTGGAATTATTTGTTGTCAAATTTCTATGATGCTGAAATATAAAATACTGTGCTTCATTCACGTGAATATGTGATTCAATAATGACGGGGTACTTGAAACAAGTTCATTGAGTACGCTTGCAAACTTAAAAAGTATGCCCATTTAGAACCTGATACATTAAAGCTTTCTTAGAAGACAAAGCAAAAATGATTTTGTTGATGGTTTGCAACACACTGCCTCGGCCATTTGGAAATCATGGTCTGGCATTTTTTTATTATTTTAATTTTGTTGGGATATAAAATTTTGCAACCCCCTCCTTTCGTTACCGACCACATGGAAAGGAATTGCAGAAATTGAAATATTTCACCGACATTAGCTTGAAATCAGATTTTACTGGTTTGCTTGAAGTGTTGAGCAGTAACCACAGAGTTCTGCTTATCTAGTACATTACATTATCAAACTGTTCCGACTGTATGACGTTTTGCTCTCACTATGTGCTGACCTGTTGAACTCTGATTTCAAGTGACCCTTCAGTATTTTAAGTTGTAACAAATCAGGTCATTGCAAAGGTCATGTCAAAGGTTAGCTACTACCTTATATTTTGTTTTCTTAAGATGGGGTAGATTGGCTTTTAATGACATTGCACTGTAAATCATGAACAGAAGCCCATTTCGAAAAAGTCTCAAATTCATTTTTAAAAAATGAACAGATATGTTTACTAACCCAATGGGTTTTTCCATATAACTTTCTTGGATCTGACAAAATCCAGTATTTTGCCAAAATAAAATAAGGAACACAATATTCTCTTGTAAACTGAGACATAAATTTCATGTGAAGTAATGGTGACTGAGAGCCTAATTCAGATTGGATAAAGTACTACTGGATTTCCTGAAGTCTTTTCCTTCCAGCTGCATTCTGGACATACTAAATAATCACAAAATAAAAGGAATTTGCATGAAGCAGGACTTGTTTGTTACAACATAAAAATATCTTTCTTTTCGTATGTCTGAAAATAATTTCAGCTTAAGTTGACTCCCCTCGCAAATCAAGCATGTGAAAGTTTCTTTGAGTTGAGTAATTCCAGGGGTGCTCAAGTTAAGCTGAAATGAGATGAAAACCGTATTGTTTTGTGGGAAGGCACACATACTCTGCTAACTGATGCACCAGAATTGTGGCATACTGTTCCTTCAATGACAATTATGGTCTGTCAGTTGGTTGGATAGATCGGAGATAGTTAATGTGCATGTTGCAACCTTGCTATGCTGCCTGCCAAATTGCAATATCAGATATTAGTTGTATGTCTAAAAAGAACATCCAAATGAAAAGGAAACAAAGTCACGCGAAAGCAACAGTTTATACCTCGTACAAACAGCAAATACTCACACTCTGCATCCTGCTTCATTGTACCTGTTTCCTTTTCTCTTGCGTTCATCCTCTCTCTTATCTTTCTTTTCATTTCCTTGTGTCTTCATCCTTTTGTTTTAAACCAGTCGCAACATTTTGTCAGAATGTACCACCTAATCACCTAGCTCTCTGGATAACAAGTGATACGATGCTCAACATTGAATAACAAATTCTCTTGCTGTTGACCTTGTCAACACTTGCTCTTCTTTCAAACTAAAATGTCAGTACTGACCTCAAGTTTGAATTAATTTCTAAAATTATATTGCATTGGCATTTTATGATTTGTTTGTTACTTAAAATGCATTTGGAAAAAGAAAATCAATATGATGATCAAAAGTCACATCTTTATTCTGAAACAACAGTTGCATCCAAAGCAGCCCGTTTTCTTTTTATTGGCAACGCATGCAGTTACTAGTCTCTTGAAAGCAATTCCATTGAAGTAGATCTCATGCTAGTTTGCTCTTGCATGTGCACTTTTGGTATTGCAAATGCACTGCTTGCTTGCTTGCTTGCTTAGCGTTCTATATTTTCTTAGTAAATATTTTGGTGTCAGTTTACTGGCTGCTGGAGACTCTTGCCCCCAGTTGAGTTCAGGTTTGCAGTGTGTTTGCAGAAACACAAAAGTTTGAAGATGAAAATGTTGAACTGATTAAATCTGACCAACTTGGAGGTAACGCAAGCTTCAGGGCAGCTGGTAATGGACACCAACAGGTTGGGTTGGTTGACTCGTTTACTTTGAGTTGATGCATCTTGTTCCTTCGACCAACCCACCCGCTATAAATACTCCTCCCATGAACAGCGTTGTATGCGTGTGTTTTTGTGTGTGTGTGTGCCTTCACCATACATTGTTGCATTTCCTTCGGTCTGCCGCCACGGCAGGCATTCTCTGATTATCAGATGCAACAAATGACGTCCCATTTTATTGACCAGTTTGGATTCAGCGATGAGGACTTCACCAAGCAAGAAGAAAATGTCAAGTAAGCAAAGCAAGTCAGACTTTTAGTCTTGGCTCTCCTTTTCCTTCTGATCCTTTACCTTTATCTTGTTCTCCCAGTGTTTGCTTTGCTTTCATTTGGTCATAGAATTCCAGTTTAGTTTGTGAATTTCGTATGGCAAATTTTAGATGCGCAAGGTAGAGAAAATTGCGGAATAAGTAGTGATGTGAAACAGTAATAGTGTGTTGAAAACCACAAGAAATTGATTTTATTTCTTCAAGGTTCATTTCTGATCTTTGGGCTCTTAATTTTGAAGTTGTATTTAGGATCTCAGATTAACTCGTTGTTTTTACATAATTTTTGTCTGTGAGTAAAATGGTCTAAGGGTGTTATCTCCAAAATAGTCAACATGGTTGGTTTTAATTTGCACCCCCCCCTGAAAATGTTGTTCCATCTTTTTTCCATTTTTCTGTTACATTTACCTTCTTCCTCTTTTTCCGTTTTATGGTTTCTTTTGTGGGTTTTGCATGACTATTCAATATCTTAATTATCTCCTTGTCTAGGTATGTATCTTTATAATGTTCTCTGCTCTCTGCTGTGTTTTTGGAAGCTATCATTCCCCTCATGCACCGAAATTCAGCATGAGATCTTCCCCAGAAAAGACAATCAGTAGACTGTCAGGTTGCCATGTGCCTATAGAATAATGTGTTAAAGTTTAACATAAATGTGTGACTGGAAAGCAGTTGGGCACTTTGAAAGATAAGTGGAATTTCTATTGCAGTTCAGGAATTAAATAGGTTTTGTGTTGCTTTCTTTTGTAGTGATTACTTTTCATGTTTCTGCCTTTCTGTGTAGCAATCCATTTGACACAATATCGGATATCAGCTTCTCAATATCAGCAAATGAAGACAATGTAAGTATAATGACCATCCTGACTTGGGAGCTAACTGTCTCTGGCATTATTTGAAATTTCGGTTTTGTTCGAAATTGGGAATTCCTACACGTTTTTCACATTTAAATTTCAAGATATTCTAGTTAAGTGCTCAGTTGTAATTCAACTGGAATTTTTAGGAGAAGGCATTGTTTGAGCTCTTGTTGATTGGAGCCAAATTTGGTTACTGAATTCATATTTCCAATTTTTTTCTTCCCCAGCCCAATTCAGCTTTGTTTGAGGCTTGTTGTAATGAAAGAATATCGAAGTTCAATGATAACAACAGCGATGAAGAAGATATGTGGGAAGAGAAAGAATTAACCTTCTTATCCAGTGTTGATGAGTCTAGAACATGGTAAGCAATAATTTCAGACAAAAATACAATTCCCTTTTTTTCCTCAATAATTAGAAGTAGAAAACCATTCACGCTCAAAAGCACAAATGTTGTCTAGTTTCATTGTTAAAAGTATGTGTTGTAAAAGATACGTAAACAGCACATGCCAAGGTTTGAACTTGCCAGTTGTCTCTTTGCAGTTTCCACTTAAGGCACAATTTGGTTTGGGCTTGAAGTTGTGAATTTTGTACAAGATTCTAGCTCATGGGTGTATTGTTGATTTCAGTGATTCGACTGCAGGCCTTGGTGCTGCTAGCGATGACAGTGACAGCGAAGATGAACATACAAAGGAAGCGATGGCAGGCTCCCCTCAACCCTCTCCATCAAATAGCGAAGAGACGAAGATGGATGTGGACTCAGCCGACAGTGAGTTCTCTAATTATCAGTACTTGGAAAGCTCGCAGAGAATTTAGTGGTATTTGTTCATTGTCTATGGCTGTAGAGGATTATAAGTGAATTCTTTGTTGTGGAATTATTCACAATGTGTCAAATTTACTCATCTTGAACCAAATCAACTTACTTTTCCCAACTTGTCATTTGCATGCATAAAGACTGAAATCAATCTAGGGCAGCAGTGTTATTAATTGTTTGCTTTGAGTATCGCTACATTTAAATTGTCCTGATTCCTTTGCTTAAGCCTGGACAGCCAATTTTGACGACGTTCCCATGGATGGATCTGTTGCTATGGATACAACACCCACAACCTGGCCAGATTCACCCCCTCAAGCACGGTCCAGTCAAGCTGGGGAACCTGAGACAGGCTGGGCTAACTTCGATGACTTCAATGCTGGCTTCAACTCTTCTAGGTACCAGTTCTTTTCAAAATGATATTCCTATTTTTGACCCAATCCCTCTAAAACTTTGTTCGAAATCTGTTTGAGCGCTCCAAAAACTGATTCCTACTATAAATTCGTGTTTTGAAAAGTTTCTCGGTGTGTGTTCACTGGTCAGTCTGTCATGTTGGTAAGTGATTTCAGTTGCTAGCCACAACTTACATTGTCTTCCGATAATAATAGCCTAATTTGAGGAAGGTCAGTATTGTCACTGTTATCTGCCCCGAGTTGAAGGGTGTTCTGAGGGCTGAATCAATTCAAATAATTCATTATTCCAACATTTGACCTTCAATTCGATCGAATTTCCAAATATTCAGTCTTTTCTGACCGGCAGATTGTTGATGATTAATCCATATACAAATCAGTGGCAGTAACACACACAGTTGTACATGATAATCACTATAATAGCTTCTTCACGTCTAGGAGTATCTCCAGCCACGATTTAGCAAAATTTAAGAGATGAACATTACTTCTTGCCTCGTTGAAAATTTCTGTGCCTTTTATATTTTTAATGAATAATTTACTTTTTGAGTCGTTCTAAGATTTGTCGCTTTTCATTTGAATCTGTTTGAAACAAGCAAAGACCGTAGATTCAAACAGAAGTTGGTGGTGTGTGCTCAGCACATCCTGTGCCAAATTTACATACACCCTTGCATGTCCCACAGTGAGTTCTAACGAAAGGACTGTCTTTGCTATGCAAAAGCACACCCTCTATTGTTCCTGCTGAGAGCGGATATTACATCTCATCTTCCTCTTTGCGAAGTTTAAATTACCAAAAAGGTTTAGGGAATCATTTTGTCTTTCCAGTCATTGAATGGCCTCCCAAAGTTACTTTGAAAAACAAAACAGCCACCGAATCTCTGATATGAACACGATGCGAGACTCTACAAGACAGACTGCCTTCAACAGACCAGATTATTGTAAACAGTCCTCTTAATGCTATAGACATGAAGGGATTCTATTAATGTATGTTTTGTCACCGCAGTCCTGAGGGTCCTCGGAGTAGCTCTCCCATTGCTATGGATAGTGAGTCCTCCCAAGACGATATCTCAGGCCAAGAAGCTACAAGCAATGAGGCTACACCACTATACCCAGCTCAACCTGGTGCTGCTTATGGTAAAATAACCAGGTTACAATTTGCACTGGATTTTAATGACTACAAAAAATAGATGGGTATGATGCAGCGAGTGTCCAAAAACAAGTGTCTGGTAAATATTGTCTTGAGGAATTTGACTGATAAATATTAGGGCTAACTATTACTTGGTACTACTTGGTACTTGGTTGGTTTCCCCCTGAAACATCCTCTAGGTATCCTCACTAGGAGGCCTCGCGGAGGGTCGGTATCTAAGTCTCAGTCTGGTACTTAATTAGTTTCCTTGGTTGGTTATGGAATTGATGTTGTTAGCTTTAGCAGTTAATTCATTAACCCTCATACAATTTTAATTCCATTGATGCTAGAAAAGGAGGATGGGAATGCCTTTAAACACGAGAGCTCTATTAAAAACACATCCACTTAAATCTATCGTAATCGGCGATTTCTGAAAGAAAGTGTGAACTGTTTACACGAGATAGTTTGTTCCTACCTCGCAGTTGTTTCAAGTAACCCAGAACAAGAAAAGCACCCCGAAGACAGCAATCGGAGCACACAGGTGACAAGCATCGGAACATCAACACAGTCTGAGCACAGTGTGCCGGAAGACAGGTGAGATATCGTCATTGATAGATACAGTTGTAGAACGGAGGTAAGCAGGGAGAACTTTGGGCAAGATTGCTGATGCAGTATCAAGTAGATATGGTACCTCAAGATGGTAGATTTCAGTGTGGATCTACAGCAGCTGAACTCAGATCAATACTAGTTCATGTTGTGCAATTTTCCATCTGGTAGCCTGTCATGTGGTCTAAAGTAACAGTTGTTATCGTAACGTGTGAAATAATCACTGGTGGCAAGGTGACGTGAGTTGTATTAATGTAAATATATTTGACATATAACTGATAGTGATCACGCAGTTGGATCAAGAGCCTCTCTTGTGAGGTTTTTATTCCCAGCTTCCCTTAGGACATGGGAGAATATTTCTTTGCTCGTTAATTTTTACGTGGAATCGAAATGAAGAATAATGTGAATATTCAGCAGTGTAAACCTCTGAGTGATTTCTCTTCTTTCTGTAGAGACATGGTGGTAGAACTGTGTTCACAGAGCGGTAATTCCTCATTTAGTCAGGACACTGTCACCTCATTACACAATTCCTATCCTGCCTTCCCGTTATCCCCGCAACCTGCTGCCCCTCAACCTGACAGCACCGTGGTAGATCCCCAGATGGAGCCACTGTCGCCGGGCCAATCTCTTCTGAACTCCGAAATTCAAGCCAAGAATCTCCACGAGATGAGCTCAAGCTCGGACTCTATTAATAGTAACCAATTAATGCAGCAAGAAGTCAAACCTCCACCCCAATTAGAGGCACAAAGCGGTGCTCCCAATTCCTTGGATGGCTCAGGACTTTCTCAGCCTCAGAAACAGGAAGCTGACAGTCATTCAGCACAAGAGGGCGCTGCAGAGGTCAGTAGTGAAGAGACAATCGCTAAACAGAGAAACACTGTGGATGACGTACAACAGCCGGTGTCTACGGTGATTGAAGTGGTTGATGGTAACTGTAGTCAGCCTCAGGATGAAGATGAAGAGGACTTGGAAGACAACTTCAGGTGAGGACACGTGGAGGTGAAGACAAGCCCAAATAATGACTACCATGCTGATCACCAGTCAGAATCAACTTGTTCACTTCAAGCAAAAGCTTGTACATGTAGATACCAACTAGTGGACAGAATCCGCTTACTTGGCATTCATTTCATAGAGCATTAACCACTTGCTACCGGGTGTAATTTGAAGTTGCATGCGCTGAATGCCACAAACAGTGGTATAATCTTTCAAAACAATGACAGATTTCCTCTGCTATTGACAACTGAAAAAAATGTTGGCAATTCCCAGCAGCTTGGTCTTTTGTTCTGAGTACAGTATTTTGTTACAAGGCCCCGCTCTTTTGTCCGATTTCGGACTCCCGGACTGTGCTTATATAGAACATGTACCCGAAACCAGGCTCCCCGGCAGCATATGGTCACATTTTTGAAAGCGTATTTCACAACGCATGTGATAAAGAATGATATTGATAGTGAATTGTTATCTTTCAGCTTCCTGGCATCAAGTGGTTTGATGAAGGGTGGTCCTGGACTCTCACCTAAACCTAATGGCCCATCGGAGTCAGAGCGTCTAGAAAAAGCAAGGTAAGAAAAATCTACCCTTTCATGATCATCTGCCCATGTTGGTTTGTCTCACTGTCAGAAAGTCCCTTTTTCACACTAAGGACCTGTCAGTGAATTTCAGTCAAGTTTTATTTTCTCTCTGTTTTGGATTGGACAGGGCTGAGGCAACAGCTGCCCTGAACCAGTTCACAGCAGCAACAAAGCAGAATGGACCAGTTTGATCCAGTCTAGACCAGTCCAATGCGGTCCACACAGGATCCCCATCCTGATTAGATGCTCAAGCACCTCTCACGGAGGATAATAAGTGGTTGAACCATGCAAAAGGCAATTAGTTGCAAATGGTGTACCATTTGTATACAAAATTGATTTAGGAAATTTTAAATTTTTTTTAAGGTATTCTTAAAAGTTAAAGTCCATTTATGCTAGGTGTAATATGTAATCTGTATATGGAGAAAACAAAGTTTCCCACAGATAAATGTAACATTAATTTCCCTGCTTTTCTTTTCCTTTTTTTTAAGTATTGCATTTTGTATCAGTCACATTATGTTTGTTGCTTGTAATTTTGGAGTAAGATTGGATTTAATGACAGCATGCACTTCAGATGCACAGTTTCTGTGTATGTTTTTCAGATTGGTAATATGTACCTTGGGCGCTGGCGCTGTATTTGACAACTCATAGCACAAAAGTCTTGTCAAATTGCCCCAGTCCAAAAATCCTGATTTTGAAAACCTTAGCTTGTTTACCAATATTAGGAAATATTTTGAAATCTTGTACATTTGAATGATTACGCTTGATGACAACTTCTCTGAGTCTACCCTCTGCAGTTTTTTCTATCTCCCATCTCACTCCCCCCCGTCACCAAGTGTGACCTATTATGTCGTCCACCCTAGTACAGTATTGTCCACTTGTACAAAATAGCTGAACAAACAAACAAATCGAATACAATCATTTGTAATGGCACACTGCCTGTCTTGGACAATTTTAGCACTGCTCATGGCCCAAGCATGAGCACACTGGATTACGTTGTTTTTATGTTTTGTTTTTAAATTCGTAAAGAAGGGAACCATAGCGTCATTGTTCCTTTTGTGCACAGCACGCAGTGCTTTCAACTTACAATTTAAATTGAATTTGAAAATGGATTATAAATACCATAGGGAGTTTTTGCAGTTATCTTTAAATTTCCACACCTGTCAAATTTTCTTTAGGGTTCACCCAGTGGCAGGCACGATGCGTCATAAATAGTATTTTTAATGCCCTTCCCTGACCCATTTTGAAATTGAAAGTCAAGGATATGTATAGGCCAAAAGTCAAAACATGTAACCATTTGTATTTTGGCATCAGGTTAGGAAAGTTAGAATTTCTATTTTATTGCACACCAGGATGCTTAATTACCAGACTCAATTAGAAAAAAAAAGGAAACATTAAAATGTGGAATATTAGGACATACATTAAGTTTATAATTTGACTTGATTGCATACGGGCATGTATATGGGCATGATGGTCATGACTTCAAATATCATTTTGTAAATTTCGTTCTGATGTTTTATATTTATCGTATTATTTAGTCAAGAGTGGTATGAATGAGAACAAAATACTGAAATGTTTACTTGTGAGCTGCACTTAAACACTAAGGTTTGGTGTTGCACTGTATGACTGCTGTCATGGCAGTTGGAATAAAATGCTGGTACACAGTCCACAACATCGGGAAGGTTACCTTCTTTTCATGGACTTTCTTTCAGTCACCTATTAAACTAATCAGCACCTTATTACAAATTTCTTGTTCTTTTGGTTTTCTTGCAGCAGCATCCACTCAGTTTTCAACAAGAAGCAATGAAATTTGGCTTTTCAAATCATTGTACATACGTCTATGTATCTGACTGCAAAGTGTCAGCCTAGGCGTGAGCTTGTGTTTAGGATTCCGTTTTGGCCAAGGTTTCTTTGATTTGAAACTAACCACTCAGGGACCTCCGACATGGAGTATTTCAAACAAGACTTTTGCTAGAACATTTTTGCCGAATTACTTGTTAATGTGGCTATTTACCATGCCTTTCATTGTATGAACTATCAACAGGATGCAATGTATTCCCACTGAAAAGTCAAGGAACTGCTTTGTGTTGGGCGGGACCTGTTGATTCTCAATATGGCATACTTTTCTTGCAACAAAATGACAACATTTCTAACACTTGTATCTTTTCTAGCTGAATGTGTATTGCAGGGGTAGTGATTCAAAGCTTATAGGTTTCAATCCTTCATCAATGGTTGTGTTAGTTCCTCCAACACTAATATAAATGCTAAATTAAATGTGTACAGTAATCTTGAACAATTATTAAGTGTGTATGGAATGTGCTGTTATGTTCAAAACAGTCATAAGTCACCAACATTGTACCCCCCCATTGCCTTGCAAAGCGAAACATTAAGATGAATATTATAAATAAGTAAACAAAAAGTATCATTGAATATTTGTTTTAATGGACAGAATGTAAATAGCGCCCTCTATTGTGGAGAGGCTGTTTTTTGTACAGTGTAAGTTGAGCGTATTATAATTTTATTTTTTGTGGGGTTTTCTTGTTAAATACAAAATAAACCTCACTACAAGGTGTATTGGATGGGTGGGATTTTTTAAATGATTATTGTTACCCCAGGTCAGAACTTCACATGGAAATGTGTGGAATGCTGTGAATAAGGAAAGTTTGTGTTCCACTTTCTTTTTTACTTTAATGAAACAACTGAAAAGCTGAATGTTGGATTATGTGCCCTAGTTTGTTTGATACAATGGATACACAATTACATCAATATTGAGTGAGAAGTCATCCAAACGTGCTACCATTTCTTGCGTCAAACAGTTTGAATGATCCAGTAACAAGTGTTCTTGACCAGCAGCCATTGGCCCAGAATGATTACATGACAGGGTAATATAAGCGCATGTCACACATCAGCCAGCGTTGTATGATATCACCCTCATATACACACGTGCCCTACATGTAGCAGTGTACAGGATAATGCATGGACCACAAACTACTGTTTTAAGATTCCTTTTTTGCTCTTAATTTTCCTAAAATATATACATGAAAACATCAAGACAAAGGTAACACTAAACTAGCATTGACTGCTCTGATGTGGGATAAAACATTTTTGACACCCTCAGGGATGTGACACCCGAGATTTGCCCTGGGCACTGTGTATCTCTCGGGTTTTCAAAATGTCATAACCCACATCACAGCAGTCAGCAGTTGTTAAATGTAGCATGTTTGTGTCAGTGAGCAAGTTACCTAGGCAACCAGTCTCCCATTGGTATCAACAACAAACAGAAACAACTTTGGGCTGTATGATGGAGTGCAGATCTTTGCAATAGATTCTATGAATTTGTTATCCCTCTCACAAGTATTGAGCTTCTCTAGGTATTCCTTAAGTGTTAAGAATATCAATTTTCTGGTATATGCTGGAAAGTACCGTTTTGTTCTGTTAGTCATATGTCAAATGATGCCAAAATTTGCTCAAATGCTGACTACTGCTGAAACTGATTTCAGTCAGATTAAGAACACACACGTTTTGTGTCAGTAGAAATTTCATTTTAGCACATTTTGTAAGTTGATGTGCTTGTATAGAGTACCGAAGTGTGATGTCATTTTCAACCAGGGAATGTAGTGCACTTGAATGGAGTACTCGCGTGTGTTGGTTCACGTGCTGGTTCTTGTCTCATCCCTTTTTACACACTTCAGTACAGGAAATGTTATGTCTGACTCATGAATTAATTTGCTGTTCATCATGTAAATTGCCAGTCAGTATCCATGTTCCTCACTCAGTACTTTCATGTGTGGCTCAGTCCAGTGAAAATGATTGTGAAACACTGGCAGCTGAAGGGGGCGGGGGGCCAATGGCCCCCACTTTTGAGGGGGGGGGGAGCATCCCCCATACACTTTTGGTGGGGCTCAATAGATTGACCGATAAATGGCTGATGCCTGATAGTCTCACAATCGTCCCCCAACCCCCCCCCCACTTTGAAAATCGCTCTGCCTCCTGTGCTGTCAAATCACCCAAACTTTTGTTCATTGAAATGAAGTCAGTGATCCTTAGTCCTGAGATTGAAGTGTGTATGAAAAATACCAATTAGAAACATGTCCATTACACTTGTTTGTAATATCTTCTTTTTCTTGTACACCAACTGGCCTGTTCAGAAGAACTATGAATTTTTTTAACATGAGTTTTAGCTTTTTATTACAGACTATCCATATCCCTTGAGAGAAGGCTACACGCTTGACTATTTAGAGATGGATCTGCAAGATGGAGTCTTTCCGTCTCATGTCTGCATTTGTGTTTGCTTTTTATTTGTTCCAGTGTGTGTGTAATGTAAAAAAAAAATCAAATATTGAACGTAAATGAGATGGTTTTTAAAAGTGGTCCCCAATATGCAAAAGGTGGATTTGTTTCTGAAGTCTGTGCTCACTCCTGTAGCGATTTAAATAGGTGCACTTTGTTGAAAATAATTGTCAGGAAATAGTCTGTTGCTTATTGTAAACTTAAATACATCTTCCTCTATCAAATCCAAACATGCCTTCATAAATTTGAACCTACACAGTCAAAGACATCAGTTTGGTTCAGATTATTAATTCATGTTTCTCCATTTCTACCTCTCTATGACTTTAGTGAATGTACTTCAGTGTGGAGTTTAGTGTGAAACTAAGAGTCCCCTCACAATGGCATATTATTTGAACTTAACTTAAACTTAAAACTATCCAAGCATTACAAACCTGCAACATTTCAAGCCAGTCGAACAAAGTTTTTTCCAGCTGTATTTAAAGGATGCTTTTGTGAGTCGGCATTGTTTCACGTGCTTGGTCAGGAAAGCTATGCTTTTAGCATATGTACTTTTGTGTGAGCAGTACATCTAGATTTGACTGAATTGTCAGAACATGAACTCCTTCGATTCCCAAAGGCTTTCATGTAAGAAAAACTCACCCTTGGTGCTTTTAAAAAAGCTTGGTCGGTACAGAGAATGATGAAAATGTGTAGCTGGTATTTCACATCTGCCAAGGCTGAAAAAGGGTGACAGTTCTACATGTAAATCTTTGTTTTTAAATTAAGTTGGAGACCTTTTTACATATTTTCCCTATCTTTGGATGATCTCTGTTGAAAAGTATTTCATTTTTAACCCCTGTGCATGTATTTTGTCATTAATTGTGCTCATAATTACCATTTGAAATCAATAGGATCAGTTTATTTTTGGCAAATACTCTGAGTTAATTTTGGTTGGGCTGTACATCCTTTCTCTTCTGGCATTTGTGTGTACATTTAGTTTTCTTAGCTTCACCTCTCTTGTAGTAACAACCTACCCACCATTGTTTCCCTAGGATATTTTAAGGAAAAGTATTTTGATCAGTATAGCAATGAGATGCCATTATTTTAATGATTTACTAAAACCTTGAATCGTATAAGAAAAAAAAAGTTACGTCATCTGCCATGATTTGATTGGCAAATACATCTCTACCCGTTATTGATGTGTATTTCTATTTAATGTAAAGGGTTCAAGACCCTGTATTTGACATGCATTTATTTTCCCCAAATGAGTAAGATGTTGAAGTGGATATTCTGCTGTCATTCTGTCAAGTTGTAGGCATGAAATTATGTCCAAAGAAAGTTTCGAAAAAAATATTGTAAATACATACAGGAAATGTACATGAGAAGGATGATTTTTCTCTTGCAGTTAAAAGAGGAGAAATACGAAAAATGCTGGTAAACTTGGAGCTCATTCAGCACATGCTAACTTTTTTTTTAATTAACTGAAATTTTTCATTTCCACCGTGTGGACCTGCTGTACATTTCTTGTACCAGTGTTTGTGGTAACTTCAATTTGGCTCAGTCCCTTTGATTGGTTTTATTTGAACAAGACCTGTGCAACGAGTTGAAGAGTCACACATGTTTTGATTTAAACATTTTGTTTCGATTGGTTGGTTTGTTCAGGCACTCCAAGTGGATGGACATATGACATTGACCAGTCAGAAGAAGGGAAGTTGAGAGAGGAGTTTTGATTGGTTCTTTGGTATGGGTGATTGATGATAATTGTTACAAGCTGTATTGTTATTGGCCGCAAGATGTAACTGTACATAAATGTCCATAAATGCAACCTTATAACCTTGGGTAGGTTGCGTTAGTTGTGTGTGTGGGATCATAATTTAAATTGTAGATCAAACACCACCGTTGCAAAAAAAGATTTAGAAATAAATCCTTCCAATACACTGAGGAACATGAGAAATTAAGACATTGTATTTGTCAGAAGACTGTTTCTTTGTTTTGGTTTGTAATCCTTTTTGGTTTCACTTTTTACTGCCACAAAAGTTTTATGGGATGTTTTATAAAAAAATTCATATGTCTTGCTTATTTATCATTCTAAACAAATATTTGAATTTGATTCTAGAAACGTGGAGGGTTTTGTTAATTTTTTTTCAGTCAAATGTGTTACAGCATTTGATGAAAACTAGGGTAGAAATCTGTGTTTGTGTTAGAAGGTAAATGACCTATAAAACTCAAAGAGATGTTTAAAAACCAGCCTGTATATACGTGGCCCCTGCCCGTGGTTCAAACTAAGATTTCTAGTTTTGCATCAGTTGGTCAAGTTTAAAAAGATTCATTCCCAAGTAGTGGATGAGGTTTCATTCTTAAGGAGATTAGGGGTTTGCTGAAATTATTCTGTTCATGTACTGAAAATTGTCTTTAACAGGAGTAATTTAGGTATTTTGTCGATATTTTGTCACTCATTTTTAACAAAAAACTTTTTTAGGGTTGCCCACCTGTCTGGGTATACACGTAGCCCCTGGCCGGGGGCCAGTCTATACCGGTTCGGAAGTGTGACGTCACTTCAATTTATACCACGCACACTACACATACGCTGCAAGTCATGTGGATCTTCACCGATCGTCCAATGGGAACCTGCAATCGTGGCGCGTCCGCCTTTGTGACAAATATAAGTCACTTACGAACCGGATACAGAGGGAAATATGGAAGGGCTACGTAGCACCGTGATCAGAATATTGACAACAATATAATATAAAACCAGTGCTCTCGAATATGTGATTGCCGAGCTTTCGAAAACTGAGTACCTTCTTCAGTGCAAGCAGATTCAGTTCACGTTTTTAGCCTGGTTCACAGTCCGTAGATTGTCGTTCGGACTTCGGTAGTGCTAGTCTTGGCAAAAGACACAAGTTAACTGAATGAACTTGCCCTGAACATAGAGCAAGGACACACTTGCTCTATGCCCTGAAGAAGGTACTCAGTGACCGAAAGCTTGGCAATCACATATTACAGAGCACTCATTTTATATTCTTGTCAATATTCGGATACGGAGGGAGTCCGGTAGACTGGCCCCTAGTCTAGGGCTAGGTTTACACGTATACATGATCGACTTTCCTATGGGAAAATGGTCCTCTGAGACTATAGTCTCCACGCCGTGGTGATTCCTGTTGAAATACCGGAGTTCCCTTTGAAAGAGAGAGAGAGAGCCACAATTACAGATTTCATTCAAGTCAAGTTTCCCCATTGTGCTACGGAAAAGAAAAGAAAATCGCCCCCGTTCATAGTCTTGCAACATCGCGCTTGGTAACAGATCGTGCGTAGTGTGACTGCAATAATTAAACCAGTGCGCTTGATTGCATATGGGAATCATTTGTTCATAATTTACATAAAACGGCTTGGCCCTCATTGATACAAGATTGTCAAGACGTTAGTGCAAACAGAGTGCGAGAAAGAAAGAAAAAAGGAACCAAATGCAATCAGCGTTGTCGATCACTATGTCTTTTGCCAAGACTTGCACTATACCAAAGTCCGAACGACAATCTACGGACTGTGAACCAGTCTAAAAAAGTCCGAACGACACTGTATGGATTTGGAACCAGTCTAAAAGCAAGTCGTCTGCTGGATTTTTCGACGCTCGCGCCTAGCGCGCACGTTGAATTCCGGTTCCGCCAATAGGTGCGCGCCTAAAGTTTCAGAACGTGTGCGCGTGCATTACACAAAGCATACATACAATATACTATGTTGGCGCGGCCTACCAAATGAAATCCGGATTTTGCAACCTTCTTGGTACGCTGAATTCTCTCAGCATCTACGTCAACGTTCAACCCATACCTTGGTTCCAACCATAGAGCTACAACAGTACACATCCTGACGTTGGGCGGTAGTCGAGAGATTTGGAAGCTGTGACTGGTGAGCTCTAAAATCGCTTAATTCTAGCCGTTATTCACGTGTAGTTTATGGGCCCGTAGTGTGCTACATTACATCCCCATTTTCTGGTACTTCGCAATCTAAATTTGGTGCTGCGCCGCATCAGCCGCCATGGATCTCTCATCCATCTCGCTCGTCAAACCCTGGCCAGTGAAGACCCTGTTTTTAACCAGGTTGCCCACCAGGTAATTTTGTAACGAGTGCTAGCGCTTTTTTGGTCCAGTGCTTCTGCAGTGCCAGTGGTTGTATTTTCTCGCGAAACTTATGAAAAGCTGAGTAATTTGTATACCATATGAATGTGCCATGTATTTCTACAGGCTGAACATGCTGAGTAGGCCTATTGTATTTCTTCCAGCGAGTCAAGATAACAATAACATTAACATGAATTCTTCACTCGATTTCTGCACCAATACTTTGGCTACGTTGGTATCATTGTACATCAGACAAATGGCAAAAAACGGCACTGAATACAAATTCACTGAATACAACTTAACTGTACTTTAAAGGTGTGGATTTTCTATTCCTTGAAACACAGCCAATGATATCTCCCACGTACAACCGTCTGTTTGACAAAGACGATTCGATGATTTAGAGCTGCTCATTAAAAGAAACTGGCCCTGAAAATAAAAAGACATGTAACAATGTCGTTCTAGAACCATGCACCCAGGCCTAAGCCTTTAGAACCAGTTTTAAACCATTCCATCACACTTTTTGTTCCATATTTTAAGCTATTCGACAGATTAACAGCATGAAATTGGTAGTAAAAGATCCAAGAGGATAATTGTTTTTAACTGAAGTCAACAATAAAAGTGTTTTATTTCTTTTGTGTGTTATTTGCTTTAAATAAACCATTTTAAATGTCATGGGTGGTATTTCACGTAATTTCTGAGTTCAGGTTCTTATTTTTTTGTTTGCAAAAAATTTCCAGATTATGACGTTTAATAATTTATGCATTGCATTTAATTTTCCCTTTTTTTTATAAAAAAATGAAGTGCAAGATTCACATCTGTCAGAGAACACATGCCTGCCAGTCTGCTATTTTATGCACTGAAAGACCTCAGCAGTTTTCATTACTTTATTTTACCATTACAACCCTGTGGTACAAGCACTGTAGATGCAGATTGCAGATTACATGCAATTGCAGATTGTTGGTGGATTTGTCTTCAAGTTCCCCTGATCCCTGCCCGATTGTCCCTCATCCAGTAAGAGAAGTTGTATGGATGTTATCCCTCAGAGCCATGTCATGATACATCACTATCTACATGTATAGTTAATGTGCTGTAGAAAGGACGGGGGATAGGCCTCTTTTCCCCATGTTTTTCTTCCTTAAAATTAGTTTGTGGAAAAAAAATCAAGGTTTTGCCAACACTAGGAAACTTTTAAATGTTCTTTGGGAAAGGATGGGTTTATACATGTACATGTACCAGGGCAATTTAAGGAGAAATTGGGGTCCTCTTTTCCAACATTTTTCCAAGACCTGAAGTGGGCAAAATGCCTGTCTAGGTAATCTTTACAAATTGTTGAATCACCACCTCCCCCATCTTCCTCCCCTGGTATTCCTGACTTCTTGTCTCATCTACCATTTGAATTGGTAGTTTTGGCAGTCTGCACTGTATTGTGGAGCAGGTGTAGCACATAAAAATGAATAAATTCACACTGTAAATCTAAATACATGTACAATTCATACACCTTTTTTGTTTTAATAGCTTTCATTTTTCAGTAATTCAAAACATGTACTGGTGCTTTAATAAGACTGTACATGTACACATAACACTGTACAGAGTATTGTCAGCTGACATTTTGTTCACTGGTTTTTACATTCCTTCACCAAAATGCAAATACAATGTACAAGTATCCTGAAATGCATCAGTGGAATACGCAAACCAATGTTGGTAAATTTTAAAACTGCAGAACAAAAAGTAGTGATTCATAATTTGTGCAAACATTACAGCACACAAATGAAACAGGCAAAAAGATACCTTCTTGGCAAGTTGTACCTTAGAGTGGAAGAAGGGTGTAATAAAAATAGCATTCAATTCATGTTTATGTCCATTAAATTAACCTTTGCGAGGTATAACATGCATTATGGGTGGTTTCTATAGTAGGCACTCTTTGGCAAATAGCTCAGACAGTACTTACAGGGCCAAATAAACTAAATCAGTACTACATAATATTGATAGGTAGGATAACAAACAGTGAACAGTATTTTAACACTTTGGAATGTACATATAATTCAGTGGTTCAAGGGGTCACCCGGGCTCAATTCATTTAAGAAGCAAAATCAAACTGTTAATATGAACATTACGATTCAATATCCCCCTAAAAGATGTACTGTGATTTCAAACATTGAACTGGGATGAGTTAAAGTATACATGTATATCACTTGTGACAATTCTCAAAACAATGCTGACCGAACACTACCTGTAACAAGGATCTTCACTAACTTAGTACTATAAATGTAAATTTGGTTCACTTGATATCAGACCTTTGCATTATAGACTAAGGGGTAAAAAAAGAGGTAGTACAAAATCCAGTTCAGTAACATACATGTATGTTAGAGCCTGAAATTAACAATGACATATGTCTGAAACAAAGTACTATCATGGGTTGGTCAGAAATTCATTTAAGAAAATTCTTAAAGTGACTGATTTCTTCTGCACTCAGTACATGTACATATCATGTTCAAATAGTACATACTTGTAGTACTGTCGTCAAATGTAAATCATCTTAAAAATTCTTCAAAGGTAGCTATGTATTTAACAATTCAACTCAACATTTACTGGTGGGTGTCTTTACCGAAAATGTGAGTCAAATTTGTTCTGATGTGTTACACAGGTATTTCATTTTGGGGAATTTCAGAAGTGTTGGGTTAAAGATTCCTTGAGTTTCAAGACTTTTATGGGGAAACTAATAATTTCAAGGGCTTGCCTTGAAAGGATGTGGGAAATATAAGGCCTCATATCTATGCCAAATTGTATCTATTGGCAGAAGGGACTGCAGGTGCCTTCACCTCAAGGTAATTGCTCAAACAAGACATTTGCCCATACTTCCTTTCATTATCTCAGTCCAAATAAAAAATCATGCTGCAATGGTCAAGAAAGAAAATATTACTTATCTGCATCCAATGAACTTCCCAAAGGAATATGTATCTACATTCTCCTTTACAAAAATAGCTTTAATATGACAACAGGAAATAACTCCAGATAAATCTCAAAATGTTTCTTTTTATAGTACTTACATGCATTCAAATAAAAAAAGAGCATTTTCTCCCCAGGTTACAAGGCTTTGGCAACTGTTTATTACAAAAGGTTAATAAACTATAAAATTTGTTGTCGAGAAGCTGCTAGTACTTGTATCCACTCCGAGTGGAACAAAAGAAGGCGTGTTTTTTTAGTACTCACTGCATAGGCGCGCATTTATAATGGGCTCAATGGCGCGTTTGACGCGGAGCACGCTGAGTACACATAAGAAATTTATTCCTTCATGCATGGTCTTTGCGTACACACAGAACGCATGCAAGAACCCACTTGAAAAACTTTAAGTGTCTTTCTTTAACCACTTGGGGGTATACTTCAACTCAGGGCAGATTACGTTTTGTTGCTTAGTAATCATGCGCTTTGTCAAGAGGATTGTCTTACTCATGTAACATACATGTAGCATATTCAGATATCAATTTTTCCTAACACCTTACACAGGCATGTGAGATGCTTGATATTCATCTTCCTCTTCTGGATCAATTTCAGTTTCCGCACTGTCAAGCTGCAAAAATAAACAAAATGTTCATGAGTAAGTTTGGTTAAGAGATCAGATGAAATCCAGAATTTTTTTTAGATATATAGCGATAAGAAACGGACACATATTACAGATCAAAAGTAAAAACGAAATATTCAATTCTAAAACAACATGAACTCTGATGACCATAACAATCAAACAATCTTTGCAGAATCCCCCCCCTCCCGCACAGACAAGTTTTAGGAATTCAGAGTATAGTGACACTTACTGCTTCTAATTCTGAAGCTGAAAACAGCCTTTTCATGAGTTGTCTGATGAGAACCAGTAAAATCAAGAAGAAAGGGAATGCCAGTGCTGCAGGTGTGCTCTTAACAGCCCAGAGTATAGCTAGGCATATCGACTGGATGCTCGTAAACATATGCATACGGAATGTCTTCACCTGTTGGAAAGAAGAAAATGTAATGATTGAGCAGCTAGTGCAATGCAAAACTCTTTCATGTCTAGAAGTTTATTTCAACTCTCAGCTATTATTACTAACCTTCCTGGTGTAGGAGACATCTGGATGATGTTTGACTGGCATAAACATGAGCAGCAGACGATCTACCATCTGTACACCATTCAATGATACAATGCCCATGTACAGGAAGACTCCAAAGAGAACAGATAATGGAACTTGTCTCAGGAGGGGTGCCAAAGCAATGGACAAACCTGTGAATATGAAATACACTTGATTGAACTGTAAAACTTTCTTCTTTTCGAGATACATATTGAGTGCTTACTTATTCTGTGATGATTTGTATTTAGCCAGGACAAACCAATTCCCATAATGTACCCAGATGAGGGTCAAACCAAGGGGTATTTTGATGAAACACAAATGAAGCAAGATGACATCAAAAGCTCTCAGAGGTAACACAAGGAGCCTGGAGATAACTTTGGGGAAACTTGATATGACTGAGTATGGATTAAAACTAAGCCACAATGCACCAAGTAAGATTCGAACCAGTGCATCAAAGTTGTAAGGCACTGCAGGGAGAATACCGTGCCAACCAAATTTCAGTGAATGATGTGAACATGCCAATACTCACCAATGAGTAGATGGACAATAAACGCAGTCACTCGTTGCTCCCAGACTCCTTCTATCCTTGGCTTCTCACCGGGAGCATGAGTCTTACTCAACACGGTCAAGCTTCCCAAGTGAGTCACCGATCTCACCGTAGCCGAGCACATCCATGGCATACCCAAGAGTGAATTGAAACATGCCATGCCACCAAGGATAAACAAGTCCAAATGGAAGCCAGAACCTTTCTTCAGTTTGTTGTCTTTCTTGTTGATGATCAAGCTGTTGGTGAAAATTAAACTTGGTGTTATTCTCTTCGCTGAGTTATTTCAACTTTGATAGACTGATCATCTGGTATCACTATGTTTTGTGTTTCAAGTACATGTACATGCAAAGAGTAACATTTCACCAACTTTTCAGCGTGCAGCGGTATAGTATCCCTCATCTCTGGAGTGCTGAGCGCTTTTGTCCCCAGTGGTAATCTTGTATAATCTTTCAAAACAATGATGGATTTCCAACGCTATTGACAACTGAAAAAATGATGGCAATTCCCAGAAGCAGCTCTGTCTTTTGTTCCGAGTACTGTCTTTTGTTACAAGGCCCAAGCTCTTTTGTCCAATTTCGGGCACCCCGGCTATGTGTACAAACCCAAGGTACCCAAAAACGGGCTCTCTGGCAGGATACGGTTAATAATTGAATCAATGGCACTGTCAGTCAAATGAATCAACCAGAATCTAATTCCTACTTGGTAATCTGTGATTCCATGTAGATGAGGATGAAGCAAAGGAAGGCAGGGATGATAGCTGCAAACACCAGGCCAGCAGGAATAGGTCGGTGCATACCGAGTGGATTCACAAACCAACCTCGAGCACAACTGTTTGTTGGATTCAAACCACTGGGAACATTCAGTTTCTAAAAGGGAAATAATAATGGTTGGTTTAGAAATAATCGCCCTGAAGTTGGGAATGAGAGGAGTCAACAAAAGTCAAATACAGTACTTTGCCAAGATTATTAACTACATGTAGTCATACATGTAGTCATACACACTGAGCGCTAAAACATATCCCAATAAGACATGTAAATATGTTCTGTCTAAACACAATATTGATTACACACTTCAAATTTTGCTACGATTGCCAAAGAAGGGATGACAGAATAAACCAGTCTAAGCATCCCAGCTAATTAAACTACATGCATGCTGTACTATAATTGTAGGTTGAAAACTTTGATGGAAAAAGATCCCTGCAAGTTAATTTAAACAGCTTTATCTCTCTTTCTATGTACTTTCTGTGTTTGTGGATATATATATATTATGAGGTTATTCCGTTCCTTCTTGAAGAAGGTGGGTTTCCGTTTCCACAACACGAGGTTCATCCCCTGACCCACGAATGCATCATACATGGTTACCACTAGCCTTGGTTAAGGCGTTCGTCATTCATTGCAGCGCAGCGCATGGCAGCGTGCACCTGCCACTCAAAATCAAGGCTAAGAGCGACCTCACAGGGTCTAAGAAATATGCAAATCAGCTGGCCCAGGACAAATGCCTTGGTGCAACTGTCCGCGGAAGCTTGTTTTTCTTTAATTTTGCACTAGATTTCTAGCGCACTACCTTGTATGCAAATATGAATAGATGCAGGCATGCATGCCAGTTCACGTTGATGCATATGTATACTTAGCTGCGATTGGTCACTGTGCACTCATCACATGCACTCAAAACCATGTAAAATTAATGGTGGACCAGCTTCTGAGATGACTGTAGCACAACGAGTTGTCTTGTTGCTTGAATTCTGCTGCAGATAAATTAATGTTGCATGATTTTTGTGCCGAGCAGCTGCAAGCCTTAGAATACTTTCTGCGCGGTCACGACATTTTTGTGAATTTGCCAACAGGCAAATTTTCAAAAAAAATTTCAGGCTCCACCTTTCTGATCAGAACTCCTCAGACCAGATGCAAAGCCCATAGCATTAATCATTTGGAAAAAAAAATTAATCACAATCAGTTAAGCAAAGCAAAGGCGAACTCCATCTCCAATTACTCTGATCAGCTGGCAAATAAATATTGTCGACTTGTCATGTACATGTACATGTATAGCCACGTGTGCTTTCAGTTAACCTGTCACCTTACGACCGAAATGAATTAAGCAATTACTATGTAGCAATGAGCCAATCCAAAAGTGTATTTAAAACATCTGCTCTTGCATTAGCATAATGAGCACCGTCCAATACAGCTTCCGCAGATGGTTGCACCAAGGCGGTAAGTGATATACGAATGTTGTTGTTCCGAGGGATTAGCATTGTGCATAGTCATACATGTACATGTACATGCACTGTGAATTCACCATTATTTTAAGAATTATCGATGCTGAATTTTTTACGTATAATTAAATAACCTATTCAATCAGCACAAAAATGCCCACCCCCCCAAATGCTACATTTTCAAGCCTACCTATCCTATTTTTGAGAGGCATGTGCATGTAATCAGAGGCAGATCTGTTTTTGGAGGGAAGTTCCGATTATGAGGAGAAATGACAAGCAACCATTTACGAATCATACAAACTTAATTTGAATATTAAAATATCAAATATATGTTAATAAAATAATTCCTGACATACCTGGGTGTATGTAGTTGGAGAAATCAGCACATCTGCCATCACCATGATAACAATGGCAATAGGAATGCCAAAATCACCAATGGTCTTACGTGCCTAGAACAAATGCAGATGTGATCAAGAAGGACTTAGAGCTGGCATGAATTTCATAGTATATATGTGCAAGATGAGCATAAATCACTAGTCAATGATGCACATTAGCTGTCAACTTGAAATCAGAAGAGCTTGTAAGGACTTTGAGGGTTCCATTTCAACTAAAGGTTTCCTTTATATGTGAACATTCCCTAAACTTCACAGCTAATTTTACCACTGATTAGTCTTATCTTTTAAAAACCTCAAACTTGTTACAATTTTCATTTCTTAAACTGAAATTACTCAATCATTACTAATGAAAATGGTTAATTATGTGTAGCACTCACCCCTCTACCAAGGAAACGGCTGTTTCTCAAGATCCGCAAGAAATATGCCAAGAAGAATGTTCCAAGCGTGAGAATCATTGACAGCAGTGCTGTGTTGGGCATGTTTTTCTTGACGTCAGCTGATACAGTACAAACCGTGGAGTTCATGTTGTCTGTAACATTAGCTGGATAGACTGGCGTTGTCAGCTCTGTGTAATTAGTTGTGTAGACTTCTGTTGAGTTGAAGTCATCCTCATCCAAACAGTAGTTCTCAAGAAGAGGATGCTTGGCAAACACCTGACAAGCAGCAAAACTGGAACACTTACAATGTTGATGAGGAATTCCATTTTCAAACAATTTATCTCTAACAAACCTAAGATCAGTGAACCTTTTGGAGAAGGAACAATTAGCCTGACTAAAGTAAAGCAGAACTTTTTTCCTTGATGAATTTTGTCATTTGTTTTGATCAAAGGATCACAAGAATAGAGCAATGTGTCTGTACATTCAGCATAACTTGTCCTCTTCTAAGTTAATTGGATGAATAAGCCATTTCTTTTCATCCATGTTAGCTACGTTCATCTGATTATCATACTTGTAGTTTTGTTTCCAAAAATATACTCTCAGTATTTTTAAGCTTCAGATACACGTATGTAATCTAAAGAGGGCTTTGTGCGTCTGTAGGACACAGATAAAGAAACACAGACACAAAAATCACCGATGAGCCAGTTCGGTATTTCAAAACGCCAAGGTCTTTTGGGAACAAAGCACATGTGTGAGTTAGCGTATGGCTGTACTGCAAACTATTGCGCATGCATGTGCAAGTAGCTGTTCCTTAATAGCCTCATACCGGGCATGCGCTGTTGGAATACCGAAGTGGCTCATTATGGCATCAACTTACAGCTGCCAACTTCTTGAAGACTTCATAGATGAAAATGAGTGAGATGAGGAGGGAGAATATATCCTCTGTGAATCGTGTGAAAAGTCGTACAAGAACACTGCCCTCTAGTGCCACCGTCACTATAGCAATGACGAAAATCCAAATGCCAACCCAGGCTCGAAATGGAAGATATTCAATTTCACTGTTGACACAGAACTGCATGGAACAAAGGCAAATCATACACAATATCAATGTAAGACTACAGAATACTGCTCAGACAGAACTGCATGAACCTAAAGGCCATCACAAAATCGGTATCGATCCAGTTGAAGTGCACCCACACAAGCCACAGACAGGCTAGTGCATGAGCTTCTTGTACATGCACCCGGCGCCCACGCAAAAACAATACATTCCAACATAAACTGGTTGCATGTACTCAGTACGCCTGGGAGACACGTGCCCCCCCCCACAAAAAAAACCAAAAACGGATGAATGGATATTGATTAAAGCTAACATAAACTGGCCCCCCCCCAAAAAAAACCTACACCACTGAAAGCTGGGCCCCCTCCCCAAGATGCTGGTGCCCCCTTTGTGCCCCCCTCCGGTATAATCCTAGTTACGCCACTGTTTACACGGTGGGTTTTCACAAAGGACTGTTGTTCCCAAGTAAAATTACGCCCTTTCTTGATCCTGCTCAGAGTAGATAGGGCTCATAGAGCTACATGTATATAGAAAAACTAGAGCACTGATCGTGTACAAAATGATGCCTGCTGGATGCATCCATGTTTGACCACAAACCTATGGATAACTTGAAATTTATGTACGCCTTTTGTATGGTTGTTTGCACATCTGTGTCTGTTTTCTAAAATGATGCGTCAACAAAGCTGATACGCAAAGAACCTGAATGGGCAATCAGTAAATGAGCGTTTAATTGTGCTCTGTGTAAAAAATGAAAACGTATGTGTATGCACTGCAGATACTCTTGCCGTGACTTTTTAAATCGGATTTTATTAGTACCCTATGTGCATTGCATGCAGAGTACATAATTAGATATTCAATCTATTTGATTTTGAATGCTCTACAAGCACACGCATATACATGTAGATTCAAACTGTCTGCGCCCAGGATGGCGTCAAATTTTCTCCACCGGGAGTACAAAACGTTAGCGCTCTAGTAATTTAATATAGCTCTATGATAGGACTACAGTGTGCTGCTTATTAAGAACTGCACAGATCCAAGGCAACTTACATACAGGACAATTTCAACATGGACCTACAGATTTCTGCTGACACGTAACATCTTTCAAATAGTCTCTAACTACATACTTAATCCAGACAAGTCTGAACTAGTACTTACAGCATACAAGTTTTCTTCAAAGACTAGCACTGGTCCTGTCGCACCAATGATGATGAGAGGTTGACCGGATATCAAAGCAAAGACCACACCACAGATCGCTGTACCTAAGATCATCTCAGATACACCAATCATGTTGTCCGTCTTATCAGCTGTCAAAGAAAGTTGATCATGCACAAAGACGTTTACAAGACTGCATTTTGTTGGGATTGGTCTATTCTTTCAACTTTCTTCATTTTGACCCATTTTCCAAGAATCCCACACTAAGACACCGCCACAAAACACTGTCTGCTTTAATCTCATTTCATTAGATGCATACTTATATTCCTTTACCATGGTTCATATTAACAAACTGAGTACCTCACAGACCCAGAACGATACCAGATGGAAGTCAATGATGGACTATATTCAAGAGACAAAATAGAACTGTGGTTTGACTTACCCAGTAAACCACCAAAGGTGATCGCTGGGGAAAAAGCAGCAAAGAAGATGAAGAAGACAGACGCAAGAGACTGTAGATTCACAGCATCTTTGAGATCACTAAGGTACCAAGGATACCGCCGTTTGATATCATTCACGAGACCTCCAAACAGACATCCAGTACGCTTCAAAGGGTCAATGAACTTTGCTGGTCGTTTGATGGGCTTAACCTTGTCTGAAGTGAGGAGATTTTTAAGGAATACAATGTAAGTGCTTCAGGAAAGATTAGAATGTCTTTTGCAAAAAATATATATTATATTTTTATCAGGAAATCAATATTACAATTAGCTCCGACATCTCCCTATAACTTCGCTATTAACCTGATCAACTGGAGTCATACCAGCATC